AAAAAAATGATTTTTTAGGAAACATTTTTTTTTTTACTTTTTGGCAATGAAAACAAATTTTATAACCAAATGTGGAAAAAGTTATCACTTTAACAAACACTTTCCATGTAAAACAAAGTCAAACGAATAGAAAATTTAAAAATTTTCAGAGTGAAAAATTATACAAATCAAATACATTTGAAATCATTCTCTCTGCAAAACATTTTTTAGGTAAATTTTTTTCCTGTAAAATATTTTCTTTCCACCCATTTTCCACCCTTACAATCAAACGCGCCTTAAAAAAAATGAGTAACTTTGAATTATATTAAATAATAAGATACCACAAAAAATTTAGTTGAACGTGGTTGATTGAATGATTCAAAACCCAAATATTCTAGAAAAACAAAAAAAGAAGATGGTTATAAGGATGGCAAAAAAATTCGTTCAACTCGATACCTGTGGGGTCCCGCTCAGGGTGGGAATTACCTGCCTAATCGGGTAAATAAGATGAGGGTCATTACCCCGAAACGGGTATGGGACGGATACGGGAAACATAGTTCCCGCCCCGCCTTGAGTCTCATTTAAAGTTAATTTTAAATTTAAATTTTTCATCAAACAAAAAAATAGATTTATCATCATTATTAAAGAGAACATAAGTTTTTTTAACAAATTAGTAAAAAGTAATAACATTTATTAACTGAAGACATAAAAAAATAAAAGCAAAAAATAAAATAAATAAAAAATAAATGGGGGTAGGGGACATGTCCCGTCCCGTCATGCTTTAATCGAGTATGTGGATGAGATAAGGTAACAAAAATATCTGACAGGACGAGGGTGGGAATGATCGACTCGTCCCATGCTCGCCCCGTTGCCCTCCCTAGATGGTTATAACCTCAGAGGTGAATTTCTTCAAGATCTTGGAATTGCACATTCGTCTCCGTCAAGAAAAATCTTAAATTGACGAGTTAAATCGTAAAGCTTAATAGTTAATCCCAACCACAAAGTTTTAGTTGAATGTGGTTGACTACGTAAATTAGGGATAGACCAAGCTTCTGAGCCGAATTGAGCGGTTCAGTTCGATTCTTTTTAGGTTAAATATTCAAACGTATACTAGAATCAAGAACCAATATGTTTAGTTCAATTCTTGATTTTATACTCGAATTTCCCTAATTTTATCTTGAATAAGCCAAAAATCTTAAAAAATTCTCCTGAATAAATTTGTCAATTGACTGACTAGAGATTAAATATAAGTGCCCAAGGCTCCAAATCTCAAGGGCCAAGCACAACTTGAGTCCAAAATATTTTTTCTTACAAATTTCAACTCAAGCCCAAATTCATTTCACGATTCAATTAACATTCAATCATTATGTCATTTAGGCTTATCTGTTGTGCTTGTTTTTCAATTATTTCTTGTAGAGTTTTTTAAGGTGACAAGTCAAACAATTGATGATCAATTTAAATGGTTAGTAAGTACTATCAATACTTCTGGTAATTTTTATTATATATTGGTGAATGATTGTTGTCCATATTGGACAACTTGTTATGTGTATATTTTTAAACTGGATTATATTATTTTGTAAGAGTTAAGATTGAACATATTATTGATTGAATTGATGTAGTATTACTGTAAATATTATAAAAATTAATTATGGTATGGAATCGAAATCGAATCGAATCGAATCGAAATTTGGACCCAACGATTACATTTACTAAATGTCCAGAAATTCGAATTCGATTCAGTTCTCTTAAAAATCGAATCTAACAAGAAAATCGGATCGAACAGGATTATGTCCCGGCATAAAGTAAATACAAAAAGTTGAATGATTCAAAACCCGAATATTCTAGAAGAAAAGATGGTTACAACCCTTCATGGTGAATTTCTTCAAGATCTTGAATTTGTACATTCTTCTCCATCAAGAAAAATCTTAAATTGACGAAGATTTCTTGCTTTGATCTCTATTAATCTCTATTGTGCGGTCATTTTTCTTGTCCTATATTTGATATTTATATAGTCCTGAAGTTCTTTGAAAGTCGTCCCCAAGAAATACTACTCTAAATGCCCTTGGAATTGGGCTAAAAATTTCGTTGGAAAATTGATTTTAATTAGTTGGCTTGATCGATCTTTGATCAATTATTTTAGTGGGTCTCGTTAGTGGATAAAAGATTTCTTTGTCCGAGTGTATTCTACTTCATGAGTAGATCAAGATAATATATTTATTTTCTTAAAATCAATTTAGGGTGAATGAGAAATTAAGGTCAAACGATGACAACTTGAAGTTGTAATAAATTGTGAATAAAAATTGGTGAAAAATGACAATCCCACATAGAAAAATTATAAGAATAGATACTACTTTATATTGTTCAAATTTGGGATTTGGGTTTGGAACACAAAGGGTACGAATAGTTTTTGAAGGAGAGATGACATATATGCTAGTAGGTTGAGTCAAAGCTCACTCACGCACCGTCATTGCCGTCCGACCAACACGGCACAAGTCACGAGTCTTGGGCCAAATTGGTATATATTTTTTAATAAAATAATATTTGAATTATATTATTTTAAATAAATTATTTATTTATATTATTTATTTCCTAAATTTTCTGTACGCGACACATAGCATCTTCTAGAAACTGGCGATTGAACAGTCGAACTGCCTATCTAAACAGGTTGTGTTTGTTTAAGACACAACTTTTCGGCTGTTGTGTCTTTTAAACACAACTTTTCAACTTCTATATAAATGTTCCCATATCCCAAATTTTATTCATTCCAAATCAATTATGATAGTTCTCTCTTGCAAATTATATTCCTTCTTTTCTGCATTATTTCATATTTTGCATTTCGATCTCGAATATTATTTTCGTGCATTTTAGTTCTCCATTTTAGAGAGATCAGAAACAATAGTAGGTTTGTGAGTCTTGTAATTTAGCGTGCTATTATTACAAGTCGAAATAGATGTATTTTGGGAGACGAGTGTCAGAAGACCGTCAGCACTAGTGCGAGACATCTATTAAAGAGAAAGAATCGAACTTTTGCCTCGACTATTATCATTTTATTTCGTTTATTTTTGCAAGTCGATATTCTACCCAACTATTTATTTATCGCAAGAGATTATTTTAAAAATAAATTATTGCACGATAAAAACATTATTAACAACAAATTTGGAGTCCTGTTTCTGGCCTGAAAAGCAATTGCGAACGCAGCATGCATTGTTGTGGTGCAAATGTTGCAAAGAAGTCCTTCATTGGTCAAAAATTGCATCAACCAGCAAGCTTGGCTACGACCAGTCCCCAAGTTTCTTATTTTGTTCATTTTTGTCTCTTGAACGTTTTAGTCCTTTAACTTCCAAGATCGCCTATTTAGATAATTCCACTTCCAATTTCAGTCCGGATTGATCCTTTAGCTTCCAAACTCATTTACATCGATCTTTTAACTTTTATTTTCTTCAAATTTGGTCCTCTAAAGTTCCAAAATGTTCAAGTTGGTCTCCATGCTCTTTGAATGTCGAATTTTTGTTCCCAAAACTTGTGAATTCATCCAATTAACACTTCAAAGCTTTCAATCAAGTCCAAACTTCCCGATATCTCTTAAAATTCACCATTTTAGCTCCAATTATGCTATGATTCGCTTCCTTTATGCTTTATTCACCTGGAAGTCGGGATTTTTTTACCTATAAAAGCAATATGTTCACCAAATTAAGTAGAATTTATAACGTAAGTTTACTCATCAGACTTTTGCTAATCCCGAGAAAAATTATCTACTTAAAAATTCTAACACACAAGAACACAAAACTTCAATATTCACCTGGTTAAGTAACTTTTCGTATTTGCATCCGATTTATAATTATACAGTCAATTCATAAGAAGATCAAGAAAATTTTTAACTTATCTACTACTTACCCAGAGTGTGCAAATAGCCAAATCTAGTAATCACCGAGGTCTAGTCAATATTGCACAAAAGATAAAATTTTCAAGTTGGTTCAATCTTGACTTTTAATGGTCAAATTTATTCCTTTACACCCTCAAATTTGATGGTTATTCTCTCTCCCAACTGTGTTATTTATAAAAATTAACCTCAATTCACTCTTTACTTAGCCACTCAAATTCGACTGGATCGAATCAATAAAGTAACTAATTAGAAATGTGAAAATTCTCCCTAATGTCTCGTCCTTCAAATTTCCACCAAGTCAAAACTACTAGTAATCTAGATCCCTATATTTAGTGCCGAAAGCCTAATTTGGCTATAAATGTCTTTTGTCTCATGCACGAACCCTCAAATCCCGTGAAACATGTAAGACGCCCATGGTAGGAAGGGACGACTATGATGCAAGTGTTTAGGTGAAAAAGATTGAACCTCTCCCAATGTTTATAGACCTGAACAAAATATGATCCGAGCCTTGAAGTGCGTCCGTTGCTCTCTAGAATAGTGCCGTGTCCTTCGAATACTACGTGGATCACTCACTCTCAAGTGTGCAAGTGGCGTGGAAGAAGTCGACTTTCCGATCTCAGAAGGAGACGACGGAACTAAACTGAACCCTGCAAAGATTAGTAAAAAACACTTCGGACCCAAAGGACCAAGCTCAACCTTTGACCAAAAAAAAAATCAACGTTAGGGATTAACCCTTAGGCCATCATTGAACTGCAAGTGTCGCCCATTTTCACCAATCACATTGACCTCCCTATCGCTGCCTTAAATACATATTATGCATCCAACTCGTAACTTGCTGTTTGGTTTAGCTAAAAAAATGATAAAAATTTAAGTCTATGTCAATAATTGGTTTTACCTACACATTTTATAGGATCAACAAGTTTTATCAACTTTTCAACAAAACGTCTCATCAATTTTGTTCAAAATGATTTTTAACTACACTGGACAGAGCTAAATATACTACGATTTCGTTTATTTTAAGAAAATCATTTTTTCAGTAAATTCTTATTAGTTGATTAAATGGTATCAATTCAATTTTTATTGATCCAATCCATTTTTTCGTTAGTCATCTAGTAAACTAGCATGTCCCAAAATATTATTCTTAATTAAAATATTAAAGAAACTAAAAATGAAATTTAAAAAAAAAATAGTTAAAATTGTTGGAATATTGAATTAAATATCAGAACATCAGTTTCATCCTACATCAGTTTCATCCTTTCAGTTTCACCTGGTTTCTCTTCAGTTTCATCATTTTTTCTCTTCAATGCTATAACTCCACATTCAATGCATTAAGGAGTTGGCTCATCCTCTACGAGTATAAATAGGAGAGCTCTTGGTTGGAAGAATACACAACAAACAGGAAACACAACAAAGGAATAAAAGCAGCCTCTGTAAATTTCCTCCTCTCCAGCAGTTTCTGTTCTTATTTCTTCTCTTCCTTTGCTAAGTTCTTTGAGAGATTGACACAGTTAGTTCGTAGGCGGTTAACGTAGTGCAGCGGGAACCGACAACCGATTATATCTTGGGAATCGAACACCGATCAAAACCTCGTGCACTCCGGTGAGGAGGCGAATTCGATTTA